CCAACATCAAGTTGATTGACATTGTCAGCACTGCGGATCAAAAATTTGCAGGCATTTTGATGATCCTGAGTGTTGAACAAATTGATCATCATATACAAGTAATGTTTTCTGTTCTCTTTTTAGTTAACCTTATTTTATATAGGGGACCAGGGGACAGGCTTGAAAACAATTCCCACATCATGCAATGAGTACTGTATAACCACATAGAGTACAATCTAGCTGTTTCTAGGAATCCTCCCGCCATATGAGTTGAGATGTCAGCTGTTGTATTTTCCCTATTGTAATGCTGGGTTACGTATGCATTGGAGTAACTTCTAGTTTAATACAGTAGTTGCATAGAGAAAATATGCTTCAATAGGCATCAGGATAGATCGACATTTCCCCAAATATTTGTCAGTTGTCATACCTGTAGTAAAGAGGTTAAACACCCCACCCAGCTACATCCTTCATTACAACAATTTACATCAAGTTGATTGATCATTCTTCTTGCAGCTTGATCTTCAAATATCTATTGTGAAATAAAAATAGAGAGCATATTAACATTTCCAATTCTTTTCCTCATCCAACTTATCACCAAAATCTTCTCAATCCATGTATACAAACAAAATTACCTTGGCACCTGATATATCAATTCTACATGTAGGGCATCGAGCATCAACCCTATTGAATTTATATAATATATTAATTAGGACATATTTTCAAACAGGCAGGGTTTTCACTGTAACACAAGGGTAGATATAGACCGTAGAACTACAAGCATAAGAGGACAAAGCAGGTATTACACTTCGATCAACATGAAATATAAATTTACGTAGGTGAGGGCTTTTGCTTTAGATGACATGTTATACAGCATAATTATTCGGCTTTAATGTGAGCCTTACTTGAGAATATCTTCAATACAGAGCTCACAAAATTGATGTCCGCAATCTCGTATTTGCACAGGGTCTTTTAAAACCTCAAGACATATTGCACATTCCCACAAATTTCTGGCCGCATTCTGGTCCTTAAACCATTTCAATGGATGACCAGAATTTCCAATCGTTGCCATTGTGGTGGAAGAATATTATTTGGGAAACAAACCGCTTTGATAACACCGAAACCAAAAGCGGTTTGAACTTTGAATCAAAAATTAGATGACTTGCTTTTCTTTGCAATTTTGTTGCGTTGAATGCTTGCCTTTAAAATTTCCGGAATTGTCAACAAATGCTAATCACTTCCGTTTTACCTGGAATCCTGAGATCGGAACACCACAGGTGGAATACAATTCTCATCGCATGGCCTTCCCAGAACTTTGCATTTCAAACCCCAGATTTTTGCGAATTCAATATATTAGTTGATAAGGTCACACGTTAGAATTACAGAATTACTCAATATTCTACATATATCTATAATTATGACTTGTGGATGTCTAAACTCTTATTTAGATCCAAATTCCTCCATCCATTCTGCATACTTCTTAATATCTGCTTCTGAGACGGACTTGGAAACTTTCTTCAAAGCTTCTTTGAAATCGTCCATATTGACTGGCAGATCCAGCTCCTCTTTGGGCAGATTTCGGATCTGTTCCGGAGTGAGACCTTGGATACGTCTTCTCATTGACATCATCGATGCGTCCCTGGAAAAATGAAGAAAATGCAACTATAGCCTGCTCCAAAGAGAAGTGGAATTCGTTCCAATCCCCACCTACGGGGACCCAATTATGGCATACTTTACCTGCAGACATTAGTAATATCAGCACCACTATAACCATCCATGCTCTCGGCAACTTCCTCGAGGACAACATTTTCAGCAAGTGCGACATCACGGAGGCATATTTTCAACAGTTCAAGTCTCCCCTTGGCTAGATAAGAGAGACGTCAGATTGAGCATATTATGGGCAGGTATTGGTACATTAAACCGGTAAATATTTTCTAATTGTATTACAGAAGGGGATCAATGCTTTAATGAGTCATCAAATGTTCCTAAACGAGACTAATTTTGTGTCGACAGAATTCCCAGTTATGGACGTTTAAGAGAGGTAACGCGGGGGCTTAGGCTTAGTGGTACAGTGAGGACTGTATTTCTCTAGCTCTTAAACTTTGTCAACCTGTTGGCAGTGGAATGTATATTCGTTTTTCCAAACGTCTTCGTAAGGCTTCGTCTAAGTCCCAAGGAAAGTTCGTCGCTGCTAGGACCATCACCAGTTTCCCATCAGCAGAAGTGGCTCCGTCCACGCCTAGCGAGAAAATTAGAGCATTTCTTTTCAAGACGAGAATCTTGGAGCAAATTTTGTCAGTGCAATGCAAAGACAGCAAGTGACGCATATAACCCGAAAGTCATAAAATCGGTCATTCTTACCGTCCATTTGCACGAGAAGTTCCGACTTCACCCGACGACTGGCTTCGTGTTCATTCTCTGTACCGCGTCGACTGCAAATCGAGTCTATTTCATCGATAAACACTGTACTAGGAGCATAAAACCTCGCCTTAAAAAGTAAAAACCAAAATAAACAGGGTATAAACTACACAGATTTAGCACAAGAACCAAGAACAATGTTTCTCTCAACTGGGCAGAATTCAACAACTGGATTTATCTGTTTGTGTCTACTTAACTTTGTAACAGGCATTGCATGGAAGTTAAGCATGGGAATTTTGCTCTGGAGAACAGCTTACCATTTCAAAAAGTAACCTCACAAGTTTTTCAGATTCTCCGCGATATTTTGATGTCAAAGTTGACGAGGAAACATTGAAGAAGGTTGTGCCACATTCTGTTGCTACGGCTTTTGCCAGCATTGTTTTACCAGTTCCTGGAGGTCCCACCATACACACACCCTAGGTTAGAAACATAAAAATATAGTCATCTCTCCTTGAGCACCAATAGCTAATCTAGGGCAGTGTCCATGTGGAGCTTCAAAAACACTGACTTTATTAAAATGTTTAATACCATTATGGTCAATAATGGTTTAATGGTATATTGGTCATTACCTTCCATGGTCGTCGTAGTCCAGTAAAATACTGTGGCATCAACAATGGCAAGACAACAGCTTCTTCTAGAAGTCGTTTTGCTTCATCCAGTTCTGCAATGTCTGACCTATAATTAAGATTATTTAAAATCCACAATTCTGCACAATTGTTAATTTATGTTACAGGAGTTATTTAGGCCATACCAATGGACATTTGGATTCCTTTGTAAAATATCTCTTTCCAATCCCTCAACAAGATCCTTGTCGTAGCCAGACGAATCAAATTTCTTTTCATCTTCTGAATCTTTTGACTCTGGTTTCTCTTCATCCTGGAATGCAAGTTAGGTCAAATTGGAATTGAAGTTCTTGGACAAGTATCCATCTTAAGTTCAAGCAAATCTAAATGACTGGGGCCGGTTGTATCAAGCCCGTTTAGCTTAAACGGTGGTTAAGTTCAAAATAGAAAGCAAGTCTATCGTTTTATTCAACAAGCGAACTAAATGTTTTTTACCTTAATACAAAGATACTATTTACAACTACATATTCAGTGGACAATATTCAAGTTGACTCATTCAAGAGAGATGTAAGCGTGTTATTTAATTTTGACTTATCCACCGTTTAAGCTAAACGGGCTTGATACAACCAACCCCTGCAGATGACTCCCACTGGAAGTTCAATAATGTTACCTTCTTTCCACGTCCACCACCACGATTGTCCCTCTCGTTCCTTGAGGGATTTTTGGATGCTGCGGGGGCTCCACGTCCACGTTCTGGTGGTTTGGCCTCAGACCTGCGGGAATTAGAAGGCTTCCGGGCAGCGGGTTTCGACACAGCCTGTTCTTCTCTTCTTACTGGTCTCGGAGCTGGCCTCACATTCCTGGAAATGTTATCAGTATATCATTTCAGGGAAGAAAAATGTCATGGAGTATATGACTCATATTATGCAATAAATATTCCCACCTTTTCTCTCGTTCAACAGGAGTGGGTGGAGGCCAGACCTCTGGATCTCTTGTCGGCTCTTCATATCCCCCTGCCCCACCATAATGGCGTGGGGTTGGGTCTTTCTTGAAATTGTTCAATGTTTTGTTCATGTCATTAACTTGTTCATATTCTTGTGCAAGCTCTTGACGAATCTTAAATTTTAAACGAGATAAAAATTTAAACGAAGTGGATATTTGCAATGTCCAGATCTTACTAAGCAGCAGCTGAAATTCCCTATTTCTCAAAGAGGATAAACACAAACAATCTCTTCTACCTGATGCCATTTCTGCTTGCGTACAGGATCAACAATTCCCACAACGTACTTCTGTATCTGTTGTAAAACTCCTTGAAAATAAACCAACGATGTATCGTAGTTACCAAGCAAGGCATATTCACGCGCCATTTTCACATTTTCTACTATTTCGTCCATGGTAAACGAATGTAAACAACCGCTAGACAATGCTATCGTGCTGGTTCAAGAAAAAGTACAGTTGTATTGGCGACAAAATTATTTTAAAACCGAAAATGAGGTTCAAAATATATAAACTCTTTGCAAACGAAAACAATTCAACGGTTCACCCGATTCGAGCCATCGCTCGGTTAGGGCGGAAAACTGTCAAGATTTTAAACAGGCAAAGTTTTCTATTTCAATAAATTAAATTTTGAACGGTTCATTTCAACCATAAATATCATGCAGTTTTACATTATTTTTATTACTACGGATATCTTTTTAGCATTGTTGGGTGCAAAAATGAATTTTTATAATTCATTTACGCTGACGGTTGGTAGCCGCCAAAAATGTCGCTGGTAGTAGTGAATTATAAATAAATTTTAAAATATGCAAATAGATCAGGTATCTTCTCAAAAAAGCTTAAAACATAAATAGCTAACGATTTAAAATCGACATAATACTGTACCAAAAGATCAAAAACAATAAATTGTATTTATTCCGCTATTTATTCGATGAGCATGTTTGACATCAGGGAAACTTACACCACGTTTCTCAAAAACTGCTGAGCAATTATGAGCCTTCATGCAATATTTTCAAAATTTTGGTGGAAATTTTAAAATATTAAAAAAGAAGGTTTGTGCAGTCAAAATTTCGGAAATGTAAATAATTTGAACAACATATAGCAGAGTAAAGTAAGCTAATTTATGAAATGTAAAGCACCACTTTGGGTTTGCCAGAGCCCAGAGGTCCTACTTCCAAAATCTAAAAAATGTAGATATTAAAATCTTTCATTTCTAAACTTTTATAGGATGCCAACTGCAGGCAGAGCTAGTGCAAGCGAGGAGATAGAGAGTACATGTTACTTTCCCTGCACAGAAATAGTCAATGTCGTTGAGTTCAGTCCTTATCAGAACACTTCAAGATTGATCGCATATGGTGGAGATAACCGGATATGTGTTGGATCCTGTTTGTTTGACGATGAAAATTTACAGGATTTCCAATTTGAACACCAGGTTGATATATTACATGGTGCACGAGTGGAGGCCATCTCTTGGTCACCTCAGAGCTCGATTGACCAATACCCTGGGTTGTTGAGGTAAATTAAGACCGTATGTGGTGGAAGTTTGACTAATACATCCAACTTACCAAGCCTAGATTATAGTCTATTAATATATCTCATGTTTTAAAATTCCTCGGGGTATTCCTAGTTTTACCTTGATGTTAAATATTAATGTTGTTAATCATTATCCCTATATTGTACATGTTAGATTTTGTACTGCTGGTGGAGATAAAAAGTTAAGATGTTTTTCTGTTGATCTGAAAAATAACTCCACAGTTCAAATGTTGGATGGTCATGAAAGTTACATAAATGATTGTGTTTTCAATCCAATACAAGGCAGCGCCATTGCAAGTGTTGGTGGTATGTACATATATCATTAAAAAATATTGGTCTATTGAGGACCAAGGGAGTCAAAAATGCCATTTGAAAATGCAAAGTTCTAAAATTGTTTACTCTAGCAGCTGTATATTTGCAAAATTAGGGTGAAAGTAATGAATCGAATGAAAATTCCACAATTTTTACCCTAATTCTGCAAATACAAATCCTTTGCTATAGACTAGTTTAAGTCAAATAAACTTTTATTATGGGTAAGTAAACTATCAGTAAATTGTAATTGGATATCCTCATTCCATGCAATAGTGCCAGTAATTAGTAATCAAACTAATGCATTGTAGGTTGACATCATACAGGGTATACTGAATAAGGATGAGAATGCGCTCTTTTCCAGCCATTCTCTAAAAAACAATAATGAACAAATATTTTCCCGCATTTTTACAGTAATAATTGAGCGTACACTTTCCCCCGTTATTTTCTAGAGAATAATAATGAGCGTAGGCTTTTTCCCGCCATTTTCAAAAAAATAATAATGAGCAAATATTTTCCCGCCATTTTCTACAGAATAATAATCAATGAATAATAATGATCGTACACTTTTTCCTCGCCATTTTCTAGAAAATAACAATAAGCAAACATTTTCCCGCTATTTCATACAGAATAATAATGAGTGTATGCTTTTTTCTCGCCATTTTTTACAAAATAATGTACGCCAGTGAGCAAAATAATGGCTTTATGTACGGAAGCAATTGTTTATATAAGCATTAATTTGCAAGTGTTTATAAAATTTTCATCAGGTGAAGCGAAAAGAGTAGTTTGGGTACATTTTACAGCACAACGCGAATAAATAAATATGCCTTATATGAAAACCCTGGCTACGAGGCATCGGGCAGTTAGCGCTATGCAAAATAACAGAAATCGACCAAGAAGCATGTATTTTATGACTAAATTAAACTACTATTTTTTCTCCATATCAGTGGCAATTAAGTTATGAAAATTTGGCCATTTGTGACAAGGTTTCAGAACTGATGCTGCTATACGCATCAAGCATGTGCATTCTGGCACTTCCGGGGCCTTTAACCGCTGGATCTTTAACAGCCAGTTCAGCTGCGATTCCAAACACGCTCAATGCGCATGCACAACTTTTCATCACGTGATCGACGTCTGTTGAATCGCCTAAACAAACAAATGCCGCCATAACAGCTGTCAATGCACACCCTGCTGCGGTGATCTTCGTCAGCACTGGATGGCCATTCGACACTGTGATCACCCTGCTGCCATCAGTCACGAAGTCGTCTTTTCCAGTTACCACGACAACACAGTGACACTCAAGGGCAAGGGCCTTGGCAGACCCAAGGGCGTGGTCGGAACTCTGGCTACTGTCAACCCCTTTTTGAGCACCATCTAGAAAATATAACACAGCGTTAGACAAAATCTTGATCGGGAAAAGGAGAATGGAGTCCAAATACACAGTTCAACTATTAAGTTGCATAAGTTATCCGTACCTGATGATTGAACATCGAGTCTTTTGCAAACACTTTTGGCCAGAGCCATAATCTCAGAAGGATTGCCTCTAATCACTATGGGTTTATAAGAAAGAGCCAGTTCGGTCGCAGTCTTTGTCCGCAAGCTGGTGGCACCCACGCCTACTGGATCCAACACCCATGGTTTCCCTAGTTCACGTGCCTTGGCTGCAACCTTGTGCATGGACCTGATCCACGGGACAGAGAGTGTTCCAATATTGATCAGCAATGCTGAGGCCAAACCAATAAACTCTTCTACTTCCTCTTCAGCTAGAAATGAATGCTTCATATCAGTAGGTTTTAACGTTTCTCTAAAGTGTTATACCGCTCTTAAGTCAGTGGGTTGTACGTGAAGAATTATCGTTTTATCTCAGTCTGACCCTAAAACAAGATTGTCAAGAGGAATTGTTGGGGATCCTACGCCTGAGCCTATGAGAATATGACAATAACAATGAATATGCAAATAAAAAAATCAGATAAAAAAATCAATAACAATCGAAAACGTGAATCTAAACAATACCATTGCTACGGGCAGAAAAACGCGAAACGTCTAATTTGGTCTCCAAATGGTTAATTACACGTTGATAACAGCGACCCGATGAAGACTTTTTGAATCTCCTGAAGCGCTTAAAGGGGGGATTATTTGTATGTCACGTGCAAAAAATACTGATGAACGTTTGAGCATCTTAGAGTCTCCATCCTCCCTCACCCTCAAGTAGTCAAACTTTAAGACCATGTCTGTTCAAGTTTTATTCTGAGCCAATATCTGATATTATATCCGGTATTGCTCATGTAGAAGTTACTATATGTTTAAACGATGCATTGAATGTACTTTCTAATCTGTGGTTAGCGCGAGTAACAGTTAAATATCGGATTAGAACTTTATAATTGCAACCTGGTCCTCCAGAACCTTTCCTTAAATATGCATTCCCTGCTACAATAATTGCACTCGATCCAAGTTTCGCTCAGTTTGGATCTTGATCATCCAGTGAGTATTAAGAGATCAGTGTAAGGCTCAAAACAGCGGGGACGACTTTAAGGATGTTTTATTTTGTAAGTGGAAGTTGGGTCATAGTTCGCTGTGTGTTGTTGTTTGTTCCACTTTCTCATTACTGGCGATTGTCGGTCGAAAGTCGAAGGAAGTCACCTGAGAAACAATTTGTGCTCATACCGGGTTACTGGTTAGTAAAAGTTTCACATTAATATCCCAGTTACAATATAGCTACCAGCCTAACAAGTATGCAATCATGTCCGATATATGATTTCACACCCGAAACTAATCTTTAGCAGTTAAATATGCCGTGATTGGGGCCCGCCACATGCAAGAAATACCACTTAAATTGTGACAAAGACATAGAAATTTCGACACCACACGTTAATATTGTGTAATCTTAGGACAAGTCGTGTAGCGTATCACTCACCGTGTGCCATTGCGGGTGATGCTCCTATTGCAAGAAGAGTGTTTGCCATGATATCCATAGACACGTAGTTTGTAAGGCATTGAACCAGCGGACTGTCTGTTCTTAGCTTCTGAAGTAGGCCGGCACATTCATCACAAGAGACTGAGATTGGTTTGTTGTGATGTGTTGACCGAGACATGTTTCTGTGTAAGGGAAGTATAGCGCTGCTAAGGTATAGCTTTTATACATTTGTTGATGTATGTTGCAAGGCTGCAAGCGGAAGTAGATCTTAAGTGCACGAAGCACTCCCCCCTGAACTGCTAAGGACGCATCGCAACGTCAGCTTGAGATTTTTTTCATCAGATATGAAACTGACCTTTGTCCCTCTCAAGCTCAAGTTCAAGAGAAATCTCCATACAAAAAGATGCAACACATGATTTTTCATTGAACCTTTCTAGGACAGAAATCTTCTAGTCTACGCATAGACGGAATATGGTGGAACAGCGCCAAATTCCGTGTTCTATAATTATTTATCCCCAGAATCTGGGGGACGCTGTGTGATTGGCTACATATTTATTTAGGAAGCCTGATTGTCTACTCACGATCAACAAAGCTTTGATTGGTTTAGAGTGGAATAATAAAAATATTTTTCGACAAATACCTAGTTCAAAGACGGAGCAAAGAAGACTTTGTGTTTGAGCTTAACAGCTTGCCATTTGTTGTTGACTACCTCCTTCGCTCTCCCGATAATCTCTTTACAAAGGATACACTCGTGAGTACTCGACATTGGCATTTACATTGCAAATTGTTAATGAAGATCAAAAAGACGATAAGGTTTTTGTTGCAGACTCAAAGGAAGATCGACGAACATGTGAATTGTGAAATTTGATCATAAATGTTTCGTGCATAAAATACGAAAATTAATTACTAATTTCAATTTACGTCACATTTTGCATAAATTACAGTACACAAAATTTGGCTCTGATACGCAGACCCTCTTTTTCCCCGCCTTTCTATTTCGGGCATGGGTCTGCGGCGCAGGCTAAAATCTTCTGGCCATGACCATGATGAAATAACAAGTTTATGTTTATAATTTTGGTCCATTTCAGCCATCAGTAAATAACAACACCCCGTGCGAAGTAAATGGAGAGGCTCCCCCCGGATACAATCACAGAACGGGAAATTACTAGTTTCCAAGAAGATGGGGCTATTTGTTTACGAGCTGTGTTCTGTCAGAAATGGGTTGATCTCTTGAGGAAGGGAATAGAGCACAATCGCCTCCATCCATCCGAAAAGACAAAACGCAAGGGTCACTCTCCTCTGTTTTTTCACGACTACGACAACTGGGAAGACATTCCGGAATACAAGGAATTTCTTCTCCACTCCCCAGTTGCAGAGGTAGCGGGACGACTTTCCCGGTCTGCGGTAAGGCAAATTGCCTCTTCTTTATGCAAGGGTGTAGACTTACCTTTTATATTAGGGAACTTTGAAATTGGTTTAAATTTTGCGCATGGACAACATGGTTGATAAATTGATTTTTATTAAAAGTCATAACATTACAATAACCCGTTGTCATCCAGCATATCTTTGAGTTTACTCTATCTTCGTGTCATAATCCCCGCTTGAGGTTTCCAGCGACCAAACCTGCCACATTTAACTAAATATTCTATAATCGATGAGTTATCTGACCGACGTTGTCAATTTTCCCAGAAAATCGCGCTGTATTCCAATCACGTTATCGTGAAAGACAGCGGGTCGACGGTGGAAACACCATGGCACCAAGATCAGGCTTACTACGAAGTCGATGGACAACAGGAAAGTATTGTTTGAAAAGACTTTGACCATGGAACACGAAACGATACATAACAGAATAGCTTGTTTTGCAATAATATTACTGGCAAGCATGAATGAATCAGTTTGTCCTCTTTTTAGTTGCATTCACGTAGTGTTTTGGCTGAAGTTTTTGAGATTACTGTTGAAGTATCGCTACTGGAGTATATAAGAATTGAGATATATACCAGAGTATTGAATGGCTTTGCATTCGTAGAAAAAGTCCAACAAAATGCACCTATGATCAGCTTGTTGCATCTGCATATATTGCTGCGTGATTCATGAAAAACCATCTGCATAACAGATCCTCCACCACACCTTCATTCATTTTCTCTGAAACCTAAACGTGTTGTGTGTGACACATACTTATGAAGACAATTTTGTTATCATAGGTATGTTCCGTGTGGCTTGCTGTCGACCCAGTCACAGAGCACACGTGTCTCCGTCTTGTGAAAGGTTCTCACAAATCACCTAACTATTTTAAACCGGTTCACTTTAACGGCCCTCTGTTCAGCCCCTACGAAATCAAACCTGGAAAAGAAGAGCAAGCGAAAGAGTTTCTGTCGCCAGATTTTGATGGAAACGACCAATACCAAATCCTATCCTGGAATATGGAGGTGGGTTCCCTATGGAAACATTGAAACATCCTTTTCGCCTTCAAAAATCATCCGTTCAGATGTCTCCATCACACATGCTAGAGTATAATTATACTTCTCACTAAGAAAGTTTTTATCCACATTTCCTGTGATTGACGTTAATTTTGCACACGAACTTGTGCGGTTATTACACTCGGTTTTAGAAAGATACGGCTGATCGCTATTCTTTGTATTTTAGCCCGGAGACTGCATTGTTTTTCACATGAAAACGGTTCACAGTGCTCATGGTAACAACCTACAAACGCCACGTCGAGCCTTCTCCACAAGATGGCTTGGTGACGACGCGGTCAAGGGTGAACGACCGTGGATGAATTTGCCACCAAGCACTCAGATGAATGGTTTAGTAAAAGGAGATAAACTCGTCGATTCTGGATCATTCCCCGTTGTTTGGAACGCGTAATGGAAATTTTTGCTGATTTCTGATCAATGGTTAATGGATTTGCTGTTTTGACTCATTCAGAACGGTTTTAAACGGGCTGGCCTTTTAACATAATATAGAGAAAAGAAAGCCTAAAAGGATAAAAAATCCTATACTAAAGGCTGTTAGAAGCCTAGAAAGGAGCGGTGCAATATTTCTTCACAACACAGCGAGGTCTCCTCACATGAAAAGTATTCTGATTCAAGGGGCATTAATTTTGACAGACAGATCCGTCAAGGATAACAAAGCGTGTACTTTAGGTGTTCACTTTAATAGTTTACCGAACCAATAATTAACATGAACAGTTTTCTGTACTTAGCATTTTCTGTACATTAAATGGAACAACAACTGCATTTGCTTCTCATTTACTGCGCATGCGTGTCCTATCAACCGGCACAGCTTGTACCAACCTATTCTGTATGACGTCAACCCGATTTTGATCAGCTTGAAGACTAATTACTTGGATGGGGGGCAGTCTATTATTG